TTGTATTTTTGAGTGACTTGTTGTGCATGTCCCCTTAAAAACAAAGTTTGTCACAGTCACAGAAAACACTTGCACATGACAAATCCTACACATACACCCAATTCACCTTTAACCGTGCAATGCATTTCATTCTAAGAGGTGTGCAGCAAGCTTGGTATAGATGCCAAGGAAAATCAAGCACAGCTTGAAGTGTTTAAAATGTATAATACCAGAGGGATTTCACTTTCTGAAGTGTCCTTGTGCTTGGTCATGTACACACAAATACTGACTTGTCCTGGGAATAGATTTCTCTACAGACTTCACTGGGTGACACATGATATTAAAAGATATGTTTTTAGAGGTTCAGGTAATTTGAATGTATGAATTGATTTCATCTTTCAAAGCTTTGAGTTTTAAAGGATTCTGTCCAATTTCAAATGATAAGACGGCACAAATAACAAGTAAAGCATGTATTTTTTCACATTTATTACTTGAACCTTTTTGCTGCAGAAATAACTGTAGAAGATTTTGTCTCTTCATTGGCTATTTTTCATTTTTCTTCTGGCTTTATGCTTGTGAGTCGGTGCTTCTTTATTTCTGAATAACGCATACAATATCCCGCTTCCCCGAGGAGACCGAATTACATTGAACTGATCCCTTTTGGCCCGTTTGACCATGTATGTTTTTCTCAAATGTTTAAATTCAACCGAATTTCACTTGAAAAGTTAAGGTCGATTTCTTTTGGGTTGCAGAGTTTAGAATTTATTTCATTTATTTCATTTTTGTGCGATGTGCTTGATTAATAACATATTTGCAGTCACAAGCTATACAGACAGAGATGACTTGATTCAAACAAAGTTGACCCTGACTTTCAGCAGCCTGCTTAGACAGAAAGTAAGAAACATTCAATTTTGAAACCCGCAGTATTCAAAACATGACTATCACGTGTTTTAAGCGCCAAACACAAAAAAGAAGGGAGAGTGAATGATGAAAAGGATGAGGAAAAGGATACACAAACAAAAGAAACGGAAAAGTTTAGAGTAAGCATATTTTCTGGGAAATTGTTGTGAAACGTCTGTAGTCACGTGCTGAGGCTGCTTGGAGCTAAATCGACTTTCATCACCTCTCCCCCCACATATGTTTTCTTTTCTTTTAAGTGATATCTGATTTGAGGGGGGTGATATCAGATCCTTTGAGCTAATCCGCTTAACTCGATCTTTTCTGTGTTCGTGTGTCTATTTGCACTGATCAACCAGAGATGAAAAGATTGTTTTTTTTCCAGATGAAGACCTGTTGGGTTCAAGAACAAAAGCGGTATTGGTCAAGGCTGATTTATAAATATATAAATACACAAAAAAGCTTACAGTTGACTGATTGTAAAACCTTGCTTTGGCACATTTGAAGGATCCCAGATTGTAACTTGAGCATATGTGATTGATAAATCTCAAACTAAAGTTAATGGCACATCCTTTTTTGATTTACCCTTACATGACACCAGGATAAATGAGGGTGTAGTCGGGAATATTAAGAAAAAAGCAAACTTTTTGGAAGACAACATCATCGCCATGGTAGAAGCAATTAAAGCCACGTTGCAATGGTGTGTCAACAAATGAAGCCAACATGCAAATTAGGAGTGTGTCACTTCTACAGTGAGTGAGGTATAAAAACTTCAGTACAGACTTGAACTGGAATATTCCTACATAAAGAAAACAAAGCTTTGCTTTGATCTGAAAACTATCATAACTCTAAAGATGATCAATATCAAGGCAGCACGTAGTTATTGAACATCATATTGTTTTTTAAAAACCATTTTTTACCTGCCTATTGCGCACATAGCATCATTTACACTTTGAGATTTAGTATTGGTAGCTGTGAAATATTAAAGATCCTCAAGTCTTCTGGGATTTGCAACATCATTTGCAGATCTCTATTATACAGTCAAGTGCATGATAAATGATCCATGTGAGGGAAGTCTCCTGAAACTGTGTTGACACCCAGCTACATACATATACGCATACTCTTAACAAATGTACTTAACTAGCTGTCATAAAAACACGACACCACAATTTTTTTGAGTCAATATCTGCCTGTTTTAACAAAAATGATATTGTGAGTAAACGAGCCAAATTCACATTTTCATACCCGCATTTCAGCCGACATCCTAGATTCCTCTGAAAAGTCAGAAATTAATCAAGCATAACGCTCAGCCATTAAAACAACTTTATTCCTGTTCAGGAATGCAATTAAATAAGAATAATTTGGCATCTTAATCCATTTTTTTTCAACTACTTTTTGTAGAACAGCAAATTTGAAAATTCGTGCATAGCAACAATAATTATATTTCAACACTAAAACATATAATTTTGATTAAAGTGTTTTACATACTGGTGAACTAATCATTACAGAGACATAAAGAGTGATTTTGGTAATTGGCAATACTGTTAATTTAGGGGAAGCTCCGGGATAGATAGTAGGCATCCTTAGATGGAGGAGCCTTTACAGCTCAGTACACACAGTACACTGCTGGAACAAAACCAAAAAAAAGATTGATTATTGTGTAAATACATCGTAAATTATTTAAATGTCTCTATTTGCCTGGAATCTTTTCAGTAGCTACACCCTTTTACACATGCTCTAAAGTTAAAATAACAAATGACAGGGTTTTACAGGTTTGAGGTATTTGTATATAGTTTGCAAACTTTGTAATATATTGTATTATTTAATTAGTTCAGTCTGTTACCGTTATTGTCTTGGAGCAGCTGTAACCCTTTAATAATTGCTAATTCCCTTAGTGGTTATTAAAGTTTTTTTTTTATTCTGATTCAAAAGAAACACATTACTACACATCATATATGTCTTCAAAGCACACAAGTGTGCATTAATAAATACCCTCTCCCTGATAGCCATCATTAGATCTTATAGGTCACTTCTGCTTGCCAGGAAATCCACATTAGAGGATTGTAACTTAATAATAGAAGAGACAGTCAGAGGTAAAAGGTTACACTTTAGAAAGGCACACACACAGAAGAGGTCCATGTTTTCCATGTAGATACATTGTTGCAATAGTAGTACGTCTACATTAGTATTTAAAATGTATTACAACAACAGAACCTTACCATTTAAAGTATATTTTATTATTGTAGTACAAATTAATTCATCACATTTTATGTGGAATGCCCCTTTTTCTAGGCTTTGCATGTAGTTTTTGCTTCTTTCAATTCAATTTTATTTATATAGCGCCAAATCACAACAAAAGTCGCCTCAAGGCTTCTTTCTTCTGGTGCCATTGATGGTTGTGGACTCTAAAAGAGCTTCACAGCAGAAATTTGAAGTATACGCAATAAAGCATCTACACTTAGAAACAGAGGCACTATGAATCCATCGCTCTGCTATTTACTCTGGTTCATAATACATTTAAAAACACATAAATACATGTTCTTTTTCATGGTTTTTCTTTTACACACACACACTCACCCACTTACAGACACATGCAGTAGCCTGATTTCTGTCACCAATCAAGCTCCATTTTCCAACCAAATTAATTCTTTCTAATTTGGAGCTTCCAGCGGTCAACCCCCCGTGGCGCTGATACTGAGCCGTGCCCGTGTGTGTTCATGCACACATATGCTTTAATGTCTGCGTAAGAAGGCGAGCACATTCTACAATAGATCTTAATTGAGAAGACGGACTGCAATCAGT